ACGCGGTTAGTATAAGAATGTGGGTCTTTTTAATAAATTTATTTTTGAGATGGATTTTATATAATAAAAAAATAAATAAATTTTTAAAATAAAAATAATAATTATATTAAAAAAATAATTAAATGGTTAGTTACAATTGTTTTTCGATAGACCACCTATTTGCATCCAAGATGCTCTATACCTCTCGACCGTATACTGTACGAATGCGGTCCAGCCTGCATAAAACAAAGTTTTTTTATAGCCCCTTAAAATTGCCATTTTTACTCAAGTAAAAAGTTTATATAAGATTGCACTTTTAAAATGTAGAATTATATTTACACCTCAAAAATCCATCGGAAAACGTTGTTTTAATGCTGAAAAACCATCTAAGTGATCATCTCGACATTGAGACGTGTGAATATGAAAAAGAAAAAAAAAAAAGACTGAGTCCCAAAAATAGTGCATCTTACAACACATTATCTAGACGGCCCATTTTCAATATTTTCATATGCTTATAGATCTACTTCATTTTAACCATTTTTTGAGTTTAAAATTTTATAATTAGATATAAAAATAGATTTTAAGATAATCTTAATAATTATTTACACCAAAATTATATATTAAAATAAATTTTAGAAGTGCGCTTTAATTGGATTGTTTAAAATTGCAACTTTATAAAAACCGCACCCTTTACTCAATTGTAGAGAGCTTAGTTTGAACTTTGAACCCAAGCTTATTCTAGGGGTGAGATCCGTTTGTATAAGGTGTCAACCTTATACAATCACGGTAAGGTGTGTCCCCGAATTTTGTTATTCAGGTGCCCAAACGGATTGCCCTAAAATGTATTTTTCACCCATATTATAAAATTGAAAGCTCCAAAAATATTGACATCTTTTTAAATATCTGACAATGGACAATCTAGATAAGGGTGTGGTTTGTATAAAGCTGAAGCTCTAAACAATCAAATTAGAGCCCAACTTTAAATAGTGTTGAAAAATATGGTTTCAATATTTGAAAGTTTTGTGGTAGCATTAAATTATATTTTCATCTTTAGTTATAAAATTTAATGTTTAAAAAATAGTGCAGAATGAGCATATCTATGAAATATTGAAGATCTTGAAAATTAACGATCCAAAAATACGTTACAAGATGTAGGCTTTAATTTTATGGTTTAGAGCCTAGGCTCTATATAAATAATGTGTGACAATATGTACTATAATTAATACTTTAAATTCAATTTTTCTTTAATAATTGTACATATCGAAGTGGAATTGATGAATTAAAGGGCTTTCTAATGTCCAAACAACCTTGGACAGTATAAAATTGTCAGCTTATAAAACTTTTTCCTCATCGATTGCTTCAATGAGTCTCTTTGCTCCTTTAAGAGCGAGTTCCTTTTGCTCCAATTTTAGAGAGAGAGAGGATTGATTTTGCTCCAATTTAGAGAGAGAAAGTAGTTACAGTGGCCCTAAACGGCCATTTTTACACCTCTATAGAGCTCAGTTTGAAGTGAACCCTTGTATGCTCTATTTCATAGTCATTAATTGCTTCCAGTGGGGCCTCTTTTTGTTCCTTTTTGTAGAGAGAGAGTTTCTTTTGCTCCTTTTTTTAAAGAGGGGATGTTTTTTTGCTCCCTTTTAGAGAGAGAAATTGATTTTAGTGCCCTTATATGGCGATATTCATTCCACTATAGTGCTTAGTTTGAATATTGACCCAAGGTTCTTTTCTCCCCTCTGCTTTTGCAGTCTTGCCCTTTTTTTAGAGAGAGAGAAGGTTGCTTTTGCGCCCTTTTAGAGAGAGCGTTATTTTTTGTTGGCTTCATTTTAGAGAGAGAAAGTAGTTACGGTGCACTTAAATGGCCATTAATGCTCCGGGGCTTGGTATGAACCAGTAAGCATCTTTTCTCTCTTCTATTTGTCTATGTTCTCTGTTTTCTTTACTTGAATGAGTGGCCTTCTTTTCACTGTTAATGTATTAAAGGAAGAGCAATTGTTGAACCAGAGGAAGCTTCTCTTTGAGCTAATATTACTCTGTTAAACCTCCGTTTTTACATCATGATCAAAGTTAGTTTAAACATACTTATATTCTTCCTTTTTCTTTAACCAGGATTAATGGTCTTTAATTGTTTTTGGTTATTGAAGGAATGGTAGATATGAACTAGACTAAGCTTAATCTGAGCTCAACTTTTTTTTAGTTGATAAACACTGTTGAGCCTCCATTTTTACCATTTGTATCATATAATGGTGCTTGTTTTACACCAGAAGTTTCCTTTTACAATCCATTTCCAACGCCTTAAGGCTCCTTTGGCTGGAAGTGTTTCCTTTACTGTTAATCCATGAAAATACTGGTAAAATGGACCACGCCAAGCTTAATCTGAAGTAGTAGGACTCTTCTTCCTTTTTTACCAGTTCTTGAAGAGTTATTTAGTACCTGGATCACTGGGTTTCTTTCTTCAGTTCTAGTTCATCAGAGAACATGAAGAACAAAAAAGAAGAAGCTAGAACCAGGTGGTGCTTTCTTTTGCAGTTCTTTTACATATTTTTTAATGCAAAAACAATTCTTTTTTTATCTGAACCAGGAAACTCTCTTTGTACTGTCTTTTGCAATTATTGAAGCCCTTTTTTTTTATTGGTAATTACTGAAGTTTTTTTTTCTCCTGTACCACTGATCTCCTCATTTCTTATCCAATTAAGACTGATGAAATCCATATTTGTTTATTATTCATCTAAACTTTATCAAAGCATCTGTTCTGTTTGTTTCACTGGTCAGTTGCCATTGAATCTGAGCCCTCTGTTTCTTCAAAGAACATCTCAGCCCTTGGTCGCCACGTTTTGGAGCATCTGTTTAGTTTCCCTCTAATCCACTATAGGATTGGTAAACCCTAAACAAAATTTCCTTTTAACCTTGTTCTCTTTGTGTTAAAGCTTTTGTTTTTTGATGTATAATTGGTATTTTTTGCCTCTTATATCATTGCAATGTTGAATATGGACAATTGAGAACCTTTTTCCTCTTCATTTTCTTCATCTTGGAGTTTTTGCATTTTAACTCCTAAAATACCAAAGCTTTATGCTCCTTTGTATTTCCCATGGAATTCTGTGCTTCCCAGTATTTCGAAGTGATAATGTTACAATTCTACTTACTCTTCGATCAATCAAAAATCTGAATTGTTTTCTCCTTTTCCCACATGTTATAACTTTATTCACTTTATTCACCCAAAAAATTCCATGTTATATCTTTACTTCTTGCATATTTGATCCTTAAACTCTTTTTTTTAAATTTATTTATCAGTAGTGTTTATCTTTAAATTCTTGAACAATGAATGGTATGCTTGTCCTGATATTTAGTCATTATTTTAGTGTTTCCTCCATGTTTTTCAAGTAGCAATAATCTCTTGTTGTTTCCTAAGTAATTTCAAGTAGCAGAAACTAAATAAACTCCTGCCTTTTTTGAGTACTTAATCAGGATCATTATTTTCATGTTGCTCCACTAACAACGTCTCCCGCAAGCTCTTTTTATGTCTTCTATTGAGGCTTTCCTTTTACCTGTATCCCCGATCAATTAACCACTATCCATTGGGACACTGATAATCTTATTTGCCTCAGTAGTTTTGTGTCTCAGAACCCAGAGCATCTATTAGATTCTGAACTACTTGAATAAAAGTTTTACATCCATCATGTTCTTGTAATACTTTGAAGCTTTGTTTAATTTGTATCCCTGCTCTTTACTCATATTCATTCGAGATATATAGTACTGCCGTTCGCCTTGGTTTTTGCTCATTATTTTATTGTCATTCATTATTTCCTCTGTATTTTAATGTATCTTCGTTTCCAAGTAGCATGAGCAGTAACAGAGCCATTAATTGAGTCTCTGCTCTTTTTAAGCACAATGTTTTGATCAATTTTTTGTTTGTAGATTCATGGGGTTTTGGATTTGAATCCCCTCATCTCTAAAGAACATTTAGGGTACATTCTGGTAACCATGAAGAGAAGACCTTCGATGCGATTGGTGATATTATCTTTCTGTGCTGGTATTTTGTTATTCCTGATGCATCGAGCTGCTTTGTTAATGACATTCAACTTTCCCCCACGGTTTGAAAATGAAGGTATGGCTTTTGAATTATGGTTTACCTTTAAGCGAAGAGATAGTTGTTCATGTTTGTGGGTGATTTATTGTGTTTTTGCTGTATTTCATGCAAGGAAGGCTTTTTCAGTCAATCCATGTTTAATAGTCTCATAAAATTTGTAAATTTGTTCATTGCATTGGGTTCTTCCTCAAGATTTGTCAATCCATGTGTTTTCCAACTACATTTCCCATTTCTTCTCATGACTGTAGATGTACTTCTCCTTTTTTTGCCTGTCACAATTGCAAATTCTAAATTGTTAATAAATGCTCAAATTTCTAATAAATTTCAGGTTTCTGATTGCAATTTTTTTAATATTAGTGGTGAAATTTTGGATGAATTTCTTCCAAAAAGTACCCAATTGTGGGTCAATATCCTCTCCAATTTTCAGCAAGATACTATAGAAAAGTCCAGGTTTGACCAAATCTCAGCAATATTTTTGCTTCAAATGTGATATAAAACATACATTCCAAATATAAACACAAGGAAAAGTATGCAATAAAACCATTCACCTTTGGTACAAAAAGGTCAAAATCATCTCCAGCAATTAAATGTGAAATCAGGCGGCTGACCACACTCGAAGTGTGAAAAAAAAATTTTAGAAATTTTGTGTGGTGGAATGACACAACCTAGTTGTCCGATTTTACATCTAACCAGCTTGAGGAGTTTATCACCTTTGACATGAAAAAACATAGATAGCATTAGCATTTTAGAAGTTTTTTGTCATTTTTCTTATCAAAGGAGAACTCTCTCTTGCGCTTTTAGTGGTGGTTGCTTTTCTAGTTTTCCTAATTAAATTGTTTCCTTATAATGGATATAAGAATAATTAGCAAATTGTTTCCTTGAAATGATATAAAAGTGGTTTATTCTTCCATTTCAAAAGTATGGTTAGTTTCTGACTTTTTTAGATAAGGAATCTGACATACTTTTCAAAGTGTTCCTCGACCTTTTGGCAGCTTTTGCTTTCCATGCTCCCCATATCTTATGAACATGGTAGTTGCAGAAACTTGTTTTTCTGATAGGTAGTTAAACAGGAACTTACTTCAAAGTAGCAGCACGTTAGAGAGAGACAGACTTTAATAGCGTTGAATGTCCTACTTTGTGACTATAAATGAATTATTTGTTGTGTGGGGCTGAGAATTCACCCAGTTTGGATCTGAAACCCAAATTTTGGACTCTTATCTGGATTCGGGTATGCATCCGAAATTTGGATTTGAATAGTAATTCGGATCGGATCTGGGTATAGGTGGATCTAATCTAGATCCGATCCCGTTATTAAAATGATATATATTATTTTATATATAAATATACATTAAACGATATTGATTTGTTATAGATTATTTTACGGATAAAAAATAATATATAAAATTTTTTTTGGGGTCTGATCAGGTTTGGATCCCATGTATACTTTTCAGCTCCAGATCCAGATCGAAATATTATGGATCTGATCAGGCCCAAATCCAAATCCAGATCCTATGTAAACTTTTCAAATCTGAATCTGGATCCCAATGGATTCGAACAACCCATTCTAAGCCCGAAAGAGAGAGAGAGAGAGAGTGCACATTTATTACATGTGCTTTGTCTTGACCATAAATGAACTGTCTAACAATTGATAAGACCTGTTGACAAAGATGTACCACATGCAAACCTGAACACACAACAATCAATATGGTAAAATGGGGAAGTGCCTGGTCCAGGAGAAGCAGTTAAAGACTCTTCAACCTTAACACAAACTTAGCTAACATCCAATAACTTAGTTGCAGAGTAAGCAGTCAATTAAAGACTTTCCAACCTTACCACAAACTTGCCTCTTACCCTATAACTTAGTTGCAGTGTTTGGTAGCAGTCCTTGAGTTAATGTTGTGGGGTACACAATTTCTAACATTATCCTCATCGGTCATTTCTCCATATTGGATTTCCATGAAGATATTGCTACCCACCACCATAAAGAAACTATCTTGTAGGGATATATTGCATTATGAGAACCTCATCAAGTTGGAAAGTCCTTGTAGAATATCAAACCTTGATATAAAATTACATCTTATTCATAGTATCGTTGTCATTTTGTTTTTGGAGGAAGATTATATAAGCCCGTGGACATATGTTGTTATATGAGCCCCATTGGATCTAGGGTTGTTTTTCAGATCCCAAAATTTGCATTCATGCTAATTTCATACTAGCAATGAAAAACAAAAGGCAAAATTATCAAAATGCCCATGTGATGAATTTAACATTGTACCCATATTGTCTGATTTGGTTTCCAAATACCCCCATAAAAAACCACATGATAGTACCAAAAATGTCAAAAGTGTAAGATGCTAAATAGTGCATCTCTCATGGGTATTATAATAAATTTCCCAAAATAAAAAAAGAACTCGCATAAAAAATATGGTCCAAAATGAGTTAGTCTTATTAGTGAAAAAATGGATGGTGAATCTAGGCCTTCAAGAACTCACAGTTACGCTTTTCTTTTTGAAGCTGATTACTTTCAAATAAAATGTGTTTTGCAAAATTCATCAAAACATAAATCCTGATATTTTGGCCCTCAGGATTATGATCTGTAGCATAAGCCCTTGGGCTTATAGAATCTTCTTCCTTAGTTTTCTATTGGTAAGGTTCAATGTCAATTGGCAGCTATTATTGGGTGCACAATTTCAGCATCAAAGTCATGGGACATTTTGCCATATTTACGTTTGATGAAATGTTGCCTCCTGCCACCATAAAACAAAATGTTATAGGGATCTTTTTTAAATGGAAGCTTTTGAATATTTCTTATAAAGAAACTTCTAAGCATTTAATATTCTGTCCCTTCTTATGTTTTCACTCCAGCTCGTTCTTTTATTTTTGTGATCTTTGTGTATCTTACTTCTCTTATAGTGAACATGGTAATGTTTTTGAAGGAAAAGCCTTAACCAAAAGCTCTTATTGTTTACATTTGCAGGAGAAAGAGAGAACTTTGGCCTTCCTAAGCCTTCCTCGCCATACCAAACCATTGCCTGTGACCGAACACATCCTCGATCCGACATATGCTCAGTGTATGCCCAGACCATCCTGCATCAAAACTCCAGCATCTTCTTCGTGGATTCCCCGAATGTCCCAAATTCCACTGAAAAATTACATCCATACCCCCGCAAGTGGGAAAAAGATGTAATTGCCGCAGTCAATGAGCTCACTATCACCACCAAAACCCCAAAAATGCCCCTCAATTGTGAAGTTGAGCATGAGGCCCCCGCACTCGTATTCAGCACTGGCGGCTACACAGGCAACCTCTACCATGACTTCAATGATGGTATTATCCCCCTCTTCGTAACTTCTCTTCACCTCCCAGAACCACCCATCTTGGTTATCACTAACTTCCATAATTGGTGGCTTACAAAGTATGCTGATCTTCTCATCCACATAACACCCCACCAAGTACTTAACCTAGATAACGAGACCCGGACCCACTGTTTCCCTTCAGCCACATTTGGCCTTCTAATCCATGGGGAGCTCCTTGTGGACCCTGCACTTACACCTAAACAACAGTCGATATATCATTTTAGTCGTCTCCTTAATGAATCATACACTCCTCACTACTACGTTCCACCACCACCAAAGCCTAGTCGGCCACGCCTTGTCTTGATAGTTCGAGAGGGCACCCGGACCATCTTGAACCAAGATGAGGTGGTCAAGACCATGGAGGAAACTGGGTTTGATGTGGAATTGTTCAAGCCCACTAGAACCACCGAGCTTAGAAAGGCTTATGCAGTGCTTAACCAGAGCCATGCTATGGTTGGGGTTCATGGTGCCGCCTTGACCCAATTCTTGTTCATGAGGCCTGGCTCTGTGTTCATTCAAGTGGTTCCATTAGGGACTGACTGGGCCTCTGAGGAATATTATGGTGAACCAGCTAGGAGACTAGGGCTTGATTATCTTGGGTATAAAATTACCGTTGGTGAGAGTAGTTTGGTAAACAAGTATGAAAGAGATGATTTGATTTTGAAGGACCCAAGATCAGTTGTGAAGAAGGGTTGGTTTAATACCAAGAACATATACTTGGAGAGACAGGATGTGAACATCAATGTTGTGAGGTTTAGGAGGTACTTGAGTTTTGCTTATGTGAGAGCCAAGAGGTTCATGGTTCATCAAGGTTAGGATGAATTAGGAAGGTTCATGGTTCATCAAGGTTAGGATGAATTAGGAAGGTTCATGGTTCATCAAGGTTAGGATGAATTAGGAAGGTTCATGGCTCATCAAGGTTAGGATGAATTAGGAAGGTTCATGGCTCATCAAGGTTAGGATGAATTAGGAATTGGTATAAGTTCAATTTTGGGAGGGAATGTATATGGGAATGTATATAGGCGAAGACTTTGAGCATTCCGATCATGGTAATATGGCAGTGGATCAAATCAGCATGTTTAGACAATACATGAGCTCACAAAGGCCCTTAATCTTCAAGTTTTTGTACAATTAATTTCTTCAGCCCAGAGAGATCTGTTCTTTGGATTGTGAAGTTTAATGTTTACAACAAAATGGCAAAAAGAAGAAGAAAAATATATAGAATAAATCAATTCTGATGTGAAACATCGATCTCAAGTCCAAGTTGAGCTTTTCTACTAGACGGATCATTTGATTGTGGACTGGATCATTGAAAGCTTTGAGGGTATTAGCCAACAGAGCAAAGATCAATGAAGGCAATAAGATAACATGACGTGATATGTTCGTATTATTTCCAATCATGGTCATGTAAAGATGAACAGTATTCTCATCATACACAGTTAAAAAATGTGACAAGCACTTTGAAATCTCAATCTCAATCTCTCTCTCTCTCTCATGCTGTGCTGTATAATACATAGCTGCATTGCGTCACATTTGCCAATTTCATTATTTTTATAGTAAAAAACTATAGTTTGGGTTTCTATTTCACTATCTGTGCAAGCATTGATATCCATCACGGTATTCCCACCCTTTCCTATCATGTATAGACCATTCAAAAATCATAAAGTTTTTCACAAGTACATTTACAACCAATAGTCTTCATCTTCCACGTTCTCCACTTTACCCAAATACTCACATTGACCCATCATCTTCACAAACCTCAACTTCACCCGAATAGGCCACTGACCTATCCTCTGAATTTTCTTCATCTCCATATTCGATTTCACTATCTGTGCAATCAGCCTTCGGTTACTATCCATTAAATGGTACTCCCACCCTATTCTATCCTATATACACCATTCTATAAACAACAGGAAAAAGACTTTCACAAGTACGTTCACACAGTCCTCTTCATCTTCATCAGTGCTTTATGTCCATCTTCACTCTAATATTACTGCATCTTCTTTTGGACTACCCCATCTGATGTGGTTCTTAGTCTTTTTGAGTGAATCTTTGCTTGAGGAACCTGCCATTTCCAGTTGACTCTTTGCTGAAAGCCAACAAAACCAGCAGCCCACCATTGTTCTTCTTGATTGGCCCTAGAACTAAAATCAGTCTTCGGTTTTTTCTCTCTCTCGATTTTGCATTCTTTCCTCAATGGCTTGGGCTCTTGGACATGAAGAACACGACTCTTTCCTTTGAAATTCTGGTTCATAGTGGCCATGCCCATGAAAGCTACCCCATTGAGCTCGATTTGGACTCCTGTTTGTGTTTCTTCCCTGCCCTGCCTTGTATTGTTGTTAGGGCTGCCAACATGTGGGTTTCGGGGAAGCATGTGGTGGTTGCGTGGCCAAGTGATGGACACCATCCCTGATGGCTTTCTTTAGGTTTTCAAAAAAACGTTTTAAGTTTACAAAAAAAAAGAAGTTTTTTTAGAGAGATAGTTGGGGTGAGCAAAACCATGTGCAGGTTAGGTGGCAACATGCCTCCATCACTTCCCCAAATAATTTTTTTTAGCCTTAAAAAAAAATTTATTTGTAAAATTTTAATTGAAAAAAATATTTTAGAATAGTTTTTCTTATAAAAAGAGTTTTTAAAGTTGGACTTACAAAATATATTCGTAGCAAGATTTTTAATATATATATATATATATATATATATATATACCACACCTAGTAGTAGTATGTGACACCGTTGGATTTCAATCCAAATCTCAAGATGGGATATGAATCCCTCACCTCTTAAAAAAAGTTTTTTTTTATTAACTCTGCCCCCTAATATGTACTCTCTCTCACCTTTCTCTCTACCCTGGCTCTCAGTATTTTCTTCATGTTGCTCGCCGAATTTGCATGCCTTGTTCTCTCTCTAACCTCCCTCTCGCTATCTTCTTCATGTTGCTAGTTTCTTCATGTTGCTCGCCGAATTTGCATGCCTTGTTCCCTCTCGCTATCTTCTTCATGTTGCTATTTTCTTCATGTTTCTCGCCGAATTTGCATGCCTTGTTCTCTCTCTACCCCCTCTCGCTCTCTTCTTCATTACCCTCCCTCTCCCTATCTACTTCATGTTGTTCGCCCTATAGAATCGCTATCTTCTTCATTACCCCCCCTCTCGCTACGCCCTGTAGAACCCCACCTCATCACATCAAGCGTTCATCCCTATAGAACCCCATCACGTCAAGCATTCATTCATCCCTATAGAACCCCATCCCATCACGTGCAATTTTCAATTCTCTAACCCAACTCAAAAGTCTAATTCCTCCCCAGAAATGCTTTCAGTGGTGGACCCATTTGATGATGATGCTCATTTCAAAGGCCATGGATCTTCATCCTCTAACTCTAAAACCTCTCCCCAAAAATGCTTTCAATGGTGGAGAAGACAACCATGAAACCGATTCCAAGCCCAAAAACTCAAAACCATATAACCCCAAAGTCTGATGAGTGTTCTTATAGAACTAGGGGTGGGAAATTTGTTTTTCATGTGAAGGATAAAAGGCCTTGATGAGTGTTCATGTGAAGGATAAAAGGCCTCTATGAGTGTTCTTATAGAACTAGGGGTGGGAAATTTGTTTTTCATGCGAAGGATAAAAGGCCTTGTCAGTTGGGGAATCAGCCATAAAAACCGCAAAAAAATTGAATTGAAAGAGAGTGATGTTTTACATGCTAAAAAAATCACCGCTACGAAAACAAATGGAGAGATCAATTTGAACCCAAATTTTGATATCCAAAATAGTGCTATTGTTAGATGAGCGAGAACAGAATACATCTAGCACCACTGGTTTTTCAATTGCTAGAAACCATTACAAGAGTGACTTTAGGGACAATGGTGGCTAGGACAATCAGAACTGTTGAAAAAACGGTGAAATAGTCATTGTACAAATCTCAGAGGAAACGACAAAAGCTGTTAATAATTGTTTGAAGATTGATGCGACTAGGATTTTGATCCACTAAGGCGAGCAATTTGCCAAGCCCATCTTAAAAAATGGGCAACGAAATTTGGCTAGCAACAGGAAGAAGAGAACGAGAGGAAAGGTATAGAGAGAAAGGTGAGTGAGAGAGAGAGAGAGAGGATCAAGAGGGGGAGAGAGAGATGAGAAAGAGGGTCGAGAGGGAGAATACAAATGAGGGAAAAGAGAGAATTACTTTTAAAAAGTAATTTTTTTTTTAAAATAGGGATTCAAATCCATATTGAAATTTGAATCAAAATCCAACAATGAAAATCCATTGATAATTTTTTGGGGTGCTGTATAGCAAGCTCTTGTAAGATCATTATATATATATATATATATATATATATATATATATATATATAACACTACTATATATAGTACTATATATATATATACTATACTAACAACTAACGATGTT